GGGAAGATTCTAGAGTAGACCCTAAAGAGATCAATCTAAATGCACTCTAACAGTAATGTGAGAAATACTAGCATGTATTTGTCAATAATAAGCCTTGGCAGACTAACCCTAACTCATTTTTATTGGGTACTTCCTTAGTAGATTGTAGGAATTACAACATATACATTTCAGCAAAGCATTTCAGAAAATATGCCACAACTGGACTGAGTTATCACAGAGGATGCTACAAAGTTCAGTCTTGGGTTCTATATACTTTAACATTTGAATAGTTTTAATAGTTTGATTTAGGGAATCCTTATAAAATTTGAAAACAGCACAAAATCAGATAGGATAGCTAATATTCTAGAAGGGAAAAATAAAATTCAAAACCATTCCAATAGGTTTGAAATATGGGCTGAAAAAATCAGAATGAATTAAGTAGAGAAATGTAAAGTTCTTCACTTAGGGCTAGGTATAGGATGGAAGATAATTGACTTGGTAACTGTATTTGTTAATAAGGTCTTAGAATAATAGCTGATAACTGGAAAACTCCACAGTGTAATATGATTGCAAAAAAACCTGAATTAACTTCAGGCCACATCAACAGGAATACAGTTTCAAATCATAGGAATTATGGTTTAATTTTATTCTGCATTAGTCAAACTCCAATTTGAGTATTGTAACCAATTTTAGAGACTACTCTTGAAGAAGAAATCAGCCAGATTAGAGCAGGTTAACAGAAGAGCAGTGATGACCAGAAAAGTATCAGGGAACTAGAAATTAAGTCCTATGAAGACTACCCTATTTTAAGTCTACAGCTTTCCTTACTTATAGTACAAGTACTGTTAGAGAAGCATTAATTGTGCATGGAAAAGATGCAAGATGTCATCTATGTTATTTCCAAGAAAAGTTTGAAACATAGTTGCGACTACATAATTGTATAGGTAGTGAAGGGATCAAATAAAATTAATTAAATGAACAAATAAAATGTTACTCAAAAATTGATGTTCCCAAATGAACAAGTACAGTTTAATATTTGAAATTTAACATTTTTATGTCCAAGAAACCTTTTCAAGTGTGAATTTATACACAAGAAAATTGAAAACACAAGGAGAAACTAGAATCAATAATCAACTTCATATATTATCCATGTGGTGATCTTCTACATACAGGAGCAGGAGCTCGGTTGCATTGCTGACCTTGCCTCCAGTATCTGAACAAGAATCCCAACATGCAAATAGCTTCTTACACTTCTGAGTTTCTCCAGGCATTTAACCTGGCTGTGTGATGTTAGAAGTAAAGGGCCAGTTGGATAACTTCAGCTCTATATAAAAATCTCATGAGCAGGATAGCACAGAGTAGTAATTCAGTTCCACTTGGATCACAGACACCTAGGCTTAATCTAGAGAAGAAACACTGAATGCCTTTGGAATCCATTCTCACCTTAGTTTATTAAACAGATCTGGAGGAAAAGTAGGAGACAAATATTGGAAATAAAATTTTATGTAAGTGTACTTTTAAAGCATAAGTATGAAAATATTACTACTGGTGGCACTAAGATGCTATAAAGATGACAGAGCAACACTTTCCAAGCAGAAGTCTACCAACGGAGAGCCAGTTTGGTGTACTGGTTAAAGTGCTGGCCCAGAAACCAGGAGACTGTGAGTTCTAGGCCTCCTTTAGGCATGAAAGCCAGCTGGGTGACTTTGGGCCAGTCACTCTCTCTCAGCCCAATCCACCTCACAGGGTTGTTGTTGTAGGGAAAATAGGAGGCAAGAATATTAGGTATGTTTGCCACCCTGAGTTGACCAAAATAAATAAAGTTTTTTTTTTTAAAAAAAGGCAGGATAAAAATTGAATAACAACAACAACAACAACTGTAGGTAGAACATCCTTTCATATTTTAAATTCTACAAGTGATAACAGCACCTGGTTTTTGGATACTGTATTTCATGCTCAATCTTATGTAACTTAGAAAATTTAGTAAATTCAGAATAATTTTAATCTGCTTTTCTGGGACTATATTTTCAGAGGGTACATATTTCTCTTTACTTGAGTTGGTTTCTATTAATCATTTTTACCAAGTAAAATAGTTTCAATTATTTCTACCTTTGTTAACGTAACAGCTGCCCGGCTGATTCCTTTTCTGTTCTCCATGTATTTCTCAAATACATGTGATGACCAACAATTATTTGCTTGCTTTTTCCCATGAAGCTTTGTGAACACAGCTTAATACATCCTGAACACAGCTTAATACATTTTCTACACATCAGAGGACCCATCTAAAGGTGTGCTGATTCTCTCAGAAATCTAAGACAGTAACCCTGTAAACATATTGCTTTAATATCTGTCTCATTTTTCCTTCATTCCTTCCTGATCGTAAACTCCCTTGCCTGATTTTTTTAGAAGGTTAAATGTTTACAATATTTTGTACACTTTCTATAGACCTCATAATGATATTATCTCAATATGATTTTTTCTCATAATCAGTATAGCTCCTTTTGAAATATTTTCATAACACACATACATGTCTAAAATATTATTTTAAATCTATGTTACACATCTCAAAGATTTGCAAGGATCCAATCCATTTATGAGATCTACTTGTGCAACTGGAGTTATACTGCCACCTGTGCACCAGCTGCAAAAATCCTTATGAAAAAGAAATCCACCACATATAAGCACCCCTCCTCCCTATTTCCTGATCAGAAGTGTGTTGTCTATATAGAACATATGCTCCCTCTGCAGCTGCTGTGGGCATAGTAAGAGCTTTCGTTCACATTCAGCCATCCTAAAGCCAACTAGAAAGGACAAAATCAAAATCCGAAGTTCTACTCATTTTGCAGTACAGTTGGCTTCCTATAACATGCCTCTGAACTTTAGCCAAATGCTTCTACAAGTGGAAGTTGCCAAGAACCGACAGGAAGACACTAATTTAAAAGCCTGAATGAAGGAAAAATGTAACAAATATCTATACAGAAAGAATAGTAGCAGCCAATAATATTAGAATTAATAACTAAAGCACGCAAACATGTGAGAAATTAATTTGAAAGTACGAATGCTTACTGTAAAATGTAAATGCAAGATTTCTCCTAAAAAAATGAAGTATGTTGTCCAAGTGAAGTGAACTACACAAATAGTAATATAAACTGCCAAGCTGACCAAAAAAAAACCTCTTTGTTACTTGCCAGATATCTAAAATGCTCAATGAAAGAGAAGCAACTGAAGTTGTCTAAATACAAAGGAAACAATTCAAAAATGCACAGAATAAGAAAATTTAATAACCTTATTGATGCATTACTTCTTATAATATCTCATTACACTGTAAAAGTTGAGACTGATATTGAAACAAAGTATTCAGTTTGTTTATCTGTAATAATTTCTTGGGAATTCAACTAAAATCTTACTTGCAAATACTGTAATCCAATGTTGAAATCATAACCTAATAAGTGTATGTATTATACCTTTTTAACATAGGACATATTGGATTTTTGATCAACCTATCACATACTCTGAAAAAGCAGGGCAATTTCACAATGAATGGAAAGGAAGTTAGGTTTCCTGATACTAGTATTTTCATGGTCTAGTACGAGGACATGCAAATGTGAGATAAACTAGAGTTCTTGAGCTCTTATCTAAAAAGATTAATGTAATATAGATGCCCAGGTGCTGAGTTCAGTTGTAAAAAGTTCACATTCAAATACTCATTTGGTTAAGAAATTTCCTGTCTGGCTTTTGGCAAATCACCAAAGCACCCCGGGTTGATGTTTTCCCTTTAAGATTTTTCCCAGGGACAAACTGAGAGTGAATCTCAGACTCACACACTCTTTTCCTACTCCCCTCATTAATACACATATCTCAAAATATTTCTTTTCTCAGCAGTGAGAGGTGTAATACTAAATTTAAAGCCTACTCTTAAACTTTCTGTGGGGAAAACAGTATCAGAAATTCAACATACACCTTCCATCTCAATCTAGCCCATTTTCTGCTGCTGCTTTGATGCTAACAGCCATCTGTCAACCTTTGAAGGACATGCTACAAATACTACTGACGTTTATAAACTCAAGTCATACCACACAAATACCACACATACCACACTTGGATAAAAACTTGCCAGTCACATTCAAACTATGAACGAGAATTTTCCATTATGCTATTTTTTATTAAATTCTCCCTATAAGTGACAATACCATAATCAAGCAATATGTTCAAGATTCATAATTCCACTACAGATTGCAAGCCTATTATTGTGTAATATGTGAATAAAATCTATTGAACTCAATGAAACTATTTACTAAACAGACATCCAAAGGACTGCACTGTTAAACCCATCTTTTTTTCTTTTTTTTTCTTTTCTTTTTTTGGTGCCGAGTCAGTGTTGACTCCTGCCAACTGCAGTTACCTTGGCAAGATTTCAGAAGTGGTTTGCCATTGCCTGCTTCCTAGGGTTGAGAGTGACTGACTGGTCCAAAGTCACCCAGTTGGCTTTGTGCCTAAGGTGGGACTAGAACTCAGGGTCTCCTGGTTTCTAGCCTAATGACTTAACCACACCAAACTGACTCTCAAACCCATCTATAATCCATCTATATTTTCTTATTCACAGAAAGCTTATTCAATTGTTTGAGGCTTAAGAAACAAATGAGGGGAGAGTTGAACAACAGTGAGCGAGCAGATTCTGTCCCTACATTCCCATCCCATTCACTCTTCATACTGCACATTGAGGATAAACTCCTAAAGAAGACAGCCCTCTATATTCAGGTAATCTTTTCAGACAATTTGGAATCCTGAAAAACAATTATTCTGAATTTCTGGTGGAATATTCATGGATAGAAAAAGCTTCATGTTACCAAATTCTCAAAATATGGAAGACAACTGGGGCAGCAATGTAGGGAAGCATAATTTGCATGTTAATCTTTGCTCTTCCTGTATGTTCATTAAAATCTGAAGCAAATGCCTAACAAGAGATATAAATAATAGTAATATGATTATTAAAATCAGTAAAACTCTGTGTTCTACTGTACCTTTTGATAAACTACAGAGCACACTAGGTCTTTAACAACAGATAGGGAGATATCTTGAGCCTCAATTGTAACTGTTTCTCGAGTGAGACCAATCTGCAGCAAAAAGGAGATTCCATGTACAGATCCTCTGGAGTTGGTGAGGCTTTGTGTGCTGAAGCTGCCATTGGAAAGTCGGCCTGAGAGTCCAGATTGCGGACTTGAGGATAAAGATGGGGTAGGTGGAGCAGCAGCATGGGACACAGATGGGGAAAACTTCTGTAAGGATGGAGGAGAAGATTCGTTTGATGACATCTGACTTGATTTAAATCCACCAAGACCTGTCCAATATACACAAAAAAAATTCTTTCCCTGCAATGTTGCAAGTACAATCTCACATTTCCTTTTATGGTTCAAGGAAACATCCTCTTGTCTAAGTCATCTTCACTCTCCTTTTCATTCTGTGCATGCTGATGATTACAAATTTGGCTAGAAGTTATTTTAAAGAAAGGCCCTCTTTGCACAGCTGATGTCAAAAATGCTTTGTCTTTAGCACCACATCCAGATGTTGGGAGAGGCTTACATCATTATGGAATTGTTCGCTTCAGAAACAGACATAGACAATGTTTTTTCACAAAGGATCTGCATTTCTATGCTTTTGAGACAACTGTAGAGTTGGTTTTGTGTGTGGAGAGAGTGGTATCAAATTGCCCCACTTAGAAACAGTGCGCTTCACAGTTCAACACATGAACAGTTATAATGAATGTTAATATGTGGTCAGTTTTTTAAAGATATGATTAGTGTCTCAGGTCATAAGTACTGCCCTGAATAAAGCTATTCTGTTTTCAGGAATTCTTGTATCGTTTATCAACGATGAGAAAAGAGAGAACGTTAATTATCTCCAAGTTTTCATATTCTGGAAAATGTTCATCTTTTAAAAGGAAAAAACAAAATTTGTACTAAAATGTGTATACCAAACAGAAGTGTTGAGTTCACACTGATGGTCTGCAGCATTCTCAACTGCTATGAACTGCCTAGAGAAAGAAAAGATAACATGTTATATCACATATATTAGGAATGTTACATAATCTTCACTCCAGTTAAAACCAGAAATACTACATTCACTAGTGTTCATGTCACAATTTCTGCTTTCATTTTATTGGGAAAAAAATTACCTTTATCCTTGTATCCTTTATGGAAGGACCAAAGTGTGGTACCACTTATGCAAGCTCTTCTATCCTTGATATCTTCATTTAAAGGGATCATTTATCAAGGCACCTGAAAGAGCTCTGCCTGGAAGGTTGCTGGTAGTTACCCTGAACTAGATGGGTAAACAATCTGACATAGGTCAACTTTCTTTATATATTAAAGCAATAAAGTGAACTTTAAGTCTCCTTGATTCAGTGATCATAGAAAGTTATAGAAAAAGTAATTTAGGAGAATTTAGAAATAACTCTATTCCCAAAACAAGAGCAGGAATGAATATTTGGAACACAGATACAAAGTAGGTACATTTTGTGCAGTAAAGCTACACTTTCCTGCAACTACAGGAAACACAAACACAATATACTTTAAAAAGTGCAATGTGTTGGCATTTTTGATCACATGCAGTTATCAATCCTCAACAGTTCTCCAACTGGAAAAAAGCTATGTCAGCTTTTCATTTAAATGGATGCTCTCATGAAATGTTATACATAGAAAAAGCTATTTACAAAAGGAAATAAAACGATCATATGATAGCTTGTGGGGGGAGACTACAGGAGTTGGCAGGAAACTTTATTTGCTTGCTTGCTTTCTTGTACTGTATATGTTTTGTGCATGGTTTGTTCACCAAGAAGCCATTTGATGGGAGTGCCCAAATTCTCAAAATTCCAAATATGCCATTGACCCAAAAAGCCTGGGAATCTCTGCCCTAACCATTATCTTCTACTGCAATTTAGTTACTAGTCCCTATAGTAAGTACTGTGATGGATTCAAAACAGGGTGAGGTATGATTTAAATCAAATCAATTTAAATCATGGCTTAAATCATTATGAAAACTTAATTATTTAAATTACAATTTAGTCACTAGCCAAAAATATATTTTATTTAAATGTAATTATATTTTATTTGTAATAATCATTTCTAGTAAAAGTGCTTTCCCATTTATGAATATAATCAGAATACAAACACTTTAATACTAAAGAGGAGAGATTTCATTTTTAGAAGAAACATACAATATAAAGAATTTTTTTTCAGATTTTCATCGAATAATGGATGGTCTTACTACCAAGCAAATGTATATATACATGTGAAAATATTAGAACTGAACCCACTCCAGTTCAATTTATTGTTATGAACATCTGGACAATATTTTTGTTATAAAATGCTAGGAGAACAAGCATCACCAGTTTTTAAATTGTGCTAATATGACTGTTGGTTCTGGCTAGTTTTCTTTAATTAAAAACAAACTACTGTTTAAACAAAAACATGCAGTTGTGTTTTACAATTAACTATTTTATAAATTCTCAATTGTTGATCTTTGTCCTTATACTTTAGAAAGAGGACAGTTATTACATTTGTTAACTTATCTTCTTAGGAACAAATAAAATATAATAATGAAGTTCTGATCATACATTAAACCTATACTGATTTTATGGAGCATTTTACATTGATTTCGATTGCAGAAGGCCAATTTAAATCTTCAAGAGCTTAAAAAGTTTAGGTTGTTCAAGAGATACATAACAGAGGAATGTTTACATAAAGCATCATATAAAAAAGATGGAAGAGCATCTCCCCCAGAGATGTGTATAAACTCCACCTTGATGTTATTTAAAAAAAACTGTTTCCCCTGGCCTTAGGTTAGAGTAGGAAGCAAGCCCGTATAGGATATTATGTGTTAGTTTCAACCTGTTCTCAATTTGATAATAAACAATTTTGGTTCTGATTTTGAAAATGCATTCTCAAATTTATATTTCAAAAACTGTGCAGTGACCACAATCTTCCAAGAAGTAACATATTAGGGTTAGGGCTAAAGTATTTAATAAAATGTTGAAACTGCAGAAATAAATGGAATGAAACACCATTTGCACATTCAGAACATACAGCTCTTGAACATAATCAAGAAGCCTATATTATTCTAACAGAACCCACTCATGACTTATAGAATGTTGTCTTCCAACCTTGAGAAAATGCTTGAAAAAAAGCCTGTATGTGAATGAAACTCACATTGATTCCTAAACATAACTTGCCATTCTACTTGTTTATTCAATACCAAAGTTGCAATTCTAAACAAGATTATTTCAGAGTAAGTTGCATTGTGTTAAATGCATGGAAATGTATTATAGGATCTTTTTTATTTATTTACACTATTGTATACATCCTCTCAGTCATTTAAAATGTATTTCTCTTGACACTAGTAACAGAAATAGGTGCTCTTTTCAGATAAAAGAGTTCATTCATTCAAGGGAAACCAAACACATTATTGCTTTATAAGATAAAAATTTTGCATAGTAGTATTTTCTTAGAAATATCATTCCTTTGAGAGGTAAAGAAATATAGAACAGATATATCAAACTCAAACCATTTATCCAATTATTTTATTTACTTACAGTGGATTTCACCCAGATGTAATCATACTTTGTCCTATTGTTTTAATGAGTCTACTCTAAGCATGACTAAATCTGGATCCAGTTCAATGTTAGAACAAGATTCTCCTTAGTGGATTAAGCAACAAAGTTACATAACTTTAACACAAACAGAACCAAAGACAAGATAGCAAATTTAGACTTCCTTAAAGTGTTCATAAACTAATAAAAATTATTACGTTTTCAAGGTCTCTACAATATGTCACATTCTCCATAAAATACAATTACAGAAAGTGGTTCCTAGAAAAACATACTTATTTGAGTGCCAGTGAGAGCTTCAACAAATAAAGAGGCTAGCCAACATTACAAATTTCAGTAAGGTTTATCTTCCTGTAATAATTACTGCATACTGTTTACACAGTGCTGAACAACCTAGAATAAATATATCCTGACCATATATCCTGACCAATTAAGAACATCATGAAAAAATGCTACTTGACCAAAACAGAGATAAATTTCAGGAGAAACATTCTAAATTGAAGAAAGAGACAGCTAAGGAGGCTGCAATAATCTACATGAGAGGTCCAAGTCATAGGTGATGTTTTAGTAATTCATATAAAAATTATAACAACATAAACATAACAGCACTAACACATTGCTTGTGTCAATGCTAGTTCTGTATACTGTAAAATGAACAACATAAGAAAAAATGGATTCACTTAAATTAACTATTGTACAATGACACTTTAAAAAAACTATTTCAGGTTATATAATTAAATGATGTTTGCCTCAATAAGTTTTGGGAAAGAAATTCTCAAGTATAAGGGACAAAAAAAGTGTATTAAGCTAACAAAGAAAAAAATTAAAAGTTTGGTCAAGAAAAATTGCTTTTATTTTTATTTTATTTATATCTTGCTTTCTTCTCTGGCAAGCTCAAAGGATGCTGAACATTAAGAATCCACATTGCAGAACATTACCTTCCAGATATTAAAAGTTTAGAGCTAATCCTTATACATGTTGATGGAATGTGAAAGGAACAGCCACTCTAGTCATATTACAACTTCAATTTAAAAATGTCTCTTCCACATGCAAAATTGCAGTAGCAGCAAAATTAAATTCAGAAAAAAATATCTTGCACATTCTTCTTAATAGCCATTTCCACTGACATGTCTTCAAAACTAAATCATTGGTAGTTAAACAGATAAACTCCAAATGATCAGTTTCATGTTGGAACTCTTAAAACCTAACCCTTTCACTGCCAACCAGTTAAATATTCTATTTTTGCCTCTTCTGGGTCCAAGAATCTGAAGCAGACTTCCATATTTTCACTTTCCATGCTTCTGTTCTGGTGGAAACAACAAGCCCCCACCTTTATCTTAATCCTATCTTAATCCTACAGCATAAAGAGCAGTATGAACTATAATCACATTGTAGTTATACTATGATTTCCTCTGCAGTCCAAGGTTGAAAGGAAGGCTGATATTGTTTGGCTGCTGAAATATCTCAACTGCACAAAGGGCAAATTGGCAAGCTCCTTGGTAGCCACACTTCAGGGAAGAAAGGTATGGAACTACAACTAAAAAGTTGCCAAACCAGCAATAGGAGAGGATAACCACAATGCTTTCAAAGTTTGTTGGCTTTTTAAGTTCTCCCTAATTTTCAAGATCAAATTATATCCTTCTCAAACATCTAATGTATGCTGTGGTCTCTTATCTGCTCTAAGAAGAGAGATTCTTTGGCAAAATGATGCAGATAAGAGAGTTTGTACAAACACAGCAGTGTATGTTTATTTGGAGGGAAGTTTGAATTCAGTTGAGCTCATTTTTGTTCTAGTTAAAAAACAGCAACCTTATCCATGTGAAGCTATCTGTAACACAGAGCGGTGTAACTGAGATGACTAACATACTTCATTAACATAATCAACTGAGATGCAGACCTTAAAATGTGAACTCACTTGTATCTGTATATGCTGAACTTCAAAGATTAAAAATGACTGAAAAATAAAGCAAGTGGAAAGTAGCTTGCAAGTCACTATTTTTCTCTTCACTATTCAATCTGCATCATTGCCCTAATCCTGTTAGCCTCTGGTAAAGCCAGGCTATCAGCAGTCACCAAGGGAAACGGCATTATCCCAACATAGTTTGTGGGTGTCAAGTATAAAGAAAAATCTCCTATCTGAACTGACTCATTCCATTCTCTATTGACACCTCCATTACTTCCCAATCAAACATTACCCACAGCTTTGTGGCTAACAACCACCACTCTATTATTATGAGATTACCATCATATTGCAAACATCCTTAATAAAAAGACTCTTAATTACACTTCCCCACCAAAAATTAAGCTGCAAGTTCATACACCACTTCCTCAAACTTAGAAGCATTGGTGTTATTATTTCCATCTAAATCAGCTACGCTATCATTGAAAGTTCCACAAATTGCACTTCAAAACACATTTATGAAGCACTAAGGCCTGGACTACAAACCTGCCCACTGCCCAACTGAAAACTGGCAGCGCATGGGGGAGAGAGAAAGAGAGAGAGAATCGTTCCAGGGCAACAACTTTACCAGTGCGTGTGAATACATCTTACAAATCTTTGCGCAAAGGCTGGTGGAGAGATCAGGTTCAGATGTCCTTTTTTTTCTATGGGTGTCTATGCACTGCGTAAAGAACACGCTTCCCTAATCGCTTCTAAGGTCTCGATCCCGGCTATCCTAAACTAGAAGAAACTTCCGTCAGAAAGGGAGTTGGTTCTCTTCAGCAGCCAACTCTTCTTGGAAGCATCCTTACGGGGAGGGGGGGCAAAGATGATGTGGCCTCAGACTCACCCGCCCCGCCGCAACCGGACGCGCCCGGGCTGGC